TATTTCAACAGAACTCTTGGCTAAAACTCTACCTCCCTGCAATTCAGTGTGAGAGCTCTCTATGGAGACTTAAAGGAAATTGAATCTCTCTGTTCAGAGACACATGTGACTCCTTCATCGTAGTATCTGAACATCTCCCAAGTATTTATGGATTTTAGCTCACAAACCCCTATGACATAAAGAAGTACTACGGTGTCCATTTTACAGAGGGGAAACCGAATCTTACGGTCTGACTATGCTGCACTGGGGAGGTCTGATTGCAGCAGGGGTAGACGTACCTGAACCTGCTTTGATTGAACCACAAGAGCAGTGAAGCCGCTGCAGCACAGGATGTACGAGCCCACCCGGGACCCTGGGGACTCTAGCGGCTAGTCCACACTGCTGCAGCTTCACTGCTTGGTATCCAAGCCAGCTTGAGTAACAACAGCAGTGAAGCCATGGCAGCATGGCCTAGCACCACACACCTAGAACCCCTGGTACATACGTGAGCAGCTGCTGCGCTTGCTGCCACAGTTCCACTTCTGTTGCCACTCGACCTAGCTTTGATCTAGCTGGCTTGGGCCTGCCTACACATGCTGCAATCACACCTCCAGTTGCAGTGTAGACATACCCATGGAGAGTGACTTGCCATATGCATGTAGGAATTCTGTAGCAGACCCAGGAATTTAACCCAGCTGTTCCGAGTCCCAATCCAATGCTCTCCTGACCATCCCTCCTCCCCATGCAGAAGAGTGGACACCATTAAGTCTTTAATACACTTACAATACATTGCTATTGCAAACTGGGCATCTCTTCCATTTTCCTTATTTAAGTGTAACTCCTTGGTAGCTGCCCCGTGTGCCAGGCAAGTCCCAGGATCAGGGCAGCTCCAGAGCTGCCCACGCACCTTCTGAAGTACTAACTTGCCAATGGAATGGCAGCACTGAGAAGTCTGTCACTGCAGTAGCCCAGAAATTAAAGTGATGGTGCTTTGTTGAAAGTAAAATGTTTAAAGGATTTTTTTTGCCTGTGCTACTGTTACCATCTCAGATGGTTAAAGACAAAAGAATTCTTAAAATTTCATTTACTTTCCCCCAGTTATGGTACTTGTAGCCTTTTAGTCAGCTTGGATCAGGAGTGGGCAAACTTTTTGGCCTGACGGCCACATCTGGGTGGGGAAATTGCATGTAGGGCCATGAATGTAGGGCTGGGGCAGGGGGTTAGGTTGCGGGAGGGAGTGCTGGGTGTGAGAAGGGGTGCAGTGTGCAGGAAGGGGTTGGGATGCGGGATGTACAAGGGGGCTCAGGGCAGGGGGTTGGGGGGCAGGAGGGGTGTGGCAGGGAGATCAGGGCAGGGGTTCAGGGTGCAGGTGCTTACTTGGAGCGGCTCTGATGTGGCAGCGGCACACAGGGAGGCTAAGGCAGGCTCCCTGCCTGCCCTGGCCCCGCGCCGCTCCCGGAAGCGGCCGACACCACGTCCATGTGGCCTCTGGGGAAGGGGGAGCAGAGGGCTCTGCGCGCTGCCCTTGCATGTGGGTACCTCCCCCGAAGCTCCCATTGGCCGCGGTTCCCCGTTCCCAGCCAATGGGAGCTGCGGGGGGGGGTGGTGCCTGCAGGCGAGGGCAATACACGGAGCCCTCTGCTCCCACCCCCTTCCCCAGAGGCCGCAGGGACGTGGTACCGGCCGCTTCTGGGAGCGGTGCGGGGCCTGCGGTGCCATGGGGGTGGCAATCCTGCAGGCCGGATCCAAAGCCCTGATGGGCCAGATCCGGCCCGCGGGCCGTAGCTTGCCCACCCGTGGTTTGGATTGTGAAATTAGATTGCTCAATTTCACTTTCTGGTTGGTATGCACTAGCACCATGCTGTTATTACACTGCAGTGTAACACTTAAGATCCTGATCCTGAAACCTACTCCACATGGGCAGACCCCTGGGCCTCTGTGGAACCACACTGGCTTTGGCCGTTGCATGGGAATGGTTTGCAGGATCAGGGCCTCAATTCTCATGCACTAATACAATGCTGCATTGAGGTTTTCATTTTTAAAGTGTTTAGAGCATAAAACATTTTTATTCATTTTACAATTTGGATTTTGTTTAAAAAAGATTCAAACGGGCCTAAAATTTTTAGTTGACACATTCCATTTAAATCAAGCGTGTTCTAAAACATCATACACACATATAGGCTCTGGGGAACTATGTTTGTTTTCTGTTGCCTAACAGTACTGGTGTGTCCCCATGTCCCTCTTACTGCAAGAAGAAAAGCTGATAGAGAAAGCTTTTGCGTGCCTCACATCAACATTCATCTACTGTTTATGTACTAAGAAAAGGAGTACTTGTGGCACCTTAGAAACTAACCAATTTATTTGAGTATAAGCTTTCGTGAGCTACAGCTCACTTCATCAGATGCATCCGATGAAGTGAGCTGTAGCTCACGAAATCTTATGCTCAAATAAATGTGTTAGTCTCTAAGGTGCCACAAGTACTCCTTTTCTTTTTGCGAATACAGACTAACATGGCTGTCACTCTGAAACCTGTTTATGTACTGATTGTGTGTATATTTAGCATACAGGACCTAAAGAAAACAAGGGGCTGTACAGTGAGAGATAAGAGCTTTTAAAGAAAATTCATGACAGCACACAGATGGTAGGTTAGAAAATTTTATTTACACATTTTACTTAGCACATATTATTGTACACCTGTGGCCGAGATGAGCCACAGTTTCATAAGCTACAAGCAAGGAGAGACATGATGGCAAAATGGTATGACTTGCGTCGAATTTTTGCCATTGTTGCACAAAGAGTCTGACTTAACTGGGCATAGGGGTTATTTTTACGACTGTCAATGACACAGGTATCATCCCTCCTTGCGCCCCAATTCCAACTTTTGCAACCCTGTGCACATGCCAGTTTTGACACCCTTGTCCTCTTTTCCCACACTACCTCTTTATGCTCAAAATGTTCTTTGTCAACCCCTCCTTAAGACTCCCTTCTACAAGCCATTAACTAACGTAATGGGGAGGGAGGAGGCATGAAGAAAACTTTCACTGTGTTTTATCCCTCTGCCCTACCCTTCACCGGTTACTTGATTGCTAGATTGTGAGTTCTTAGAAGCAGAGACTATGTCTTGTATATTTGCACAGTGGTTAGCATATTTACAGTGCTAATGTTACAAATATTATTTATAATGCAGTATTTTCTACAGGCTTTCATGTTGACCCCATTAAATCAAGCAGATACACAACCTGGTGTAACGGACAGAGCCACATGGATCCAGGCAGAGATTCCTAAAAGGTGGCCAAGATTTTGTTTTATTTACTCTATTTCTCCATCAATGGCCAGGTATAACAGGCCAGAGCAACCAGTGCTTACAAAAAAGCCCTCTAATAAATGGAGGCCTGGCTCCATGGAACCGTGGCCTTAATTTTGACAACTGAATTCCAACCTTGATTTCTACCTGTGACGCATGACCAGAAAGGGTTAAGTGTCCTGCAGGATGAATGACTCAAATTCAACCCTTAAAAATATGTGGGGAGATAATGTTTGTGTTTTTGTGTATTTACATATATATTGGTAGAGGTCAACAATGTAATCAAACAGTCCCTGTCTATGCTGTATTCTGTTAATTCAGAGATCAAAAGAACATTTTAGCATTTAGATGAACTGTAAACACAGGATATCCCTGTATTTATCTCTTTGAAGTGTATAGCCAGTCATCTGCGAATGGTGGAAAAACAGACGATTGCCTTATATTAATTTGTGTAGCTAAGTACTGGTGATAGACCTTCTTCGAAGTTGCCCTGATTGCCTATTGTAAGCCAAGGGACTTTGACCTATCGAAGAAGGCCTGAAATTGTATAAAAGATCCTTGGGTCCTGATCCTCTCATCTCAGATCTGCTTAAGCTTCATCGGGGGAAGTTTGAGTTGCAAGACTGAGATCCCAGTTAAACCAGAACACACTGAATAGGATATTGGACTATAATCTATGGACTAAATTCTAAAAGAACTCCTTGCAACTACAAAGCTCACCATCTCTGCTATGAATCTGAACCTCAAGAATTGAACTCATGCCTATATGTATATTGATCTTTTAACCATACTCTCTCTCCCTTTTCTTTTAAAATAAATTTTAGTTAATAAGAATGGCTGTAAGAAAGCATGTATTTGGATAAAATCTGGAATATTCATTAACCTGGAAGGTAATGTGTCTGATTCCTTGGGATTGGTAGGAACTTTTTTATATGATGAAATGAGATTTTTAAGAAATCATCATACCTGACTTGGGTGTGTAGGCGGAGGCCTGAGGCTGGGTTACTTTAAGGGGACTATGTTGTTGATTTCTGAGTAACCAGCGAGTATAACAGAAGCTGCTTTGTGCTGGCTTGGTAAGTCTAAGTATTGGAATATCTACTAGCTTGGGGGATTGCCTGCCCCACTCTTTGCAGTTCACCCTGAGTGACCTCAGCTGGCTCCCCTGGGATGCCGGTGACTACCATCTGTCAGTGACACAGAAGCATCATTAACTATGCATGCAAGCAGCATTCAAAATCACTGCTCTAGAGCAACAGGAGCGACGACGCGAGGCCTCTGTGTATGACTCCAGCCTGTCTGCCATGATTGACCTGATTTCCAAAGTTGCTGAGCGAGCACAGGTAGCTCCCACTTGCTTTCATGGGATCTTTGACTAAGCACTTCCGAAAATCAAAGCGAGTAGGCGCCAGGCAGCGGAGGCAAATCTGCCCCAGGGGAGCTGGGAGGAACCCCAAAGAGACTCTCTCGGTGACGCTGCGGGGGCCGGGGCCATGCATGGGGGGGTTGCACTTCCCACGGTGGATTAACCAGTCCTGGGGTGGGGGGGCGGCTCCTCCCCCCCCCGGATGAGGACGATCGCACTGTTAAGAAACCGCCGTGAGGCACAGGGCGCACGCCGCAGCGAGCAGCCGGGGTCATGCAGCTACTGCTAGCACCGGGCAGCGGCACACGGTGCAGTCAGGCCAGCGGGCCCCAGTCCCTCTGCCCCGCTCACCTTCGCACTGCGCTGCCTGTCCCCGCGGGGCGCGGGCGGCGGCGGCCCAGGGGCCCGCGCACAGCAGGGCGAGGGCCAGGGCCGCGCAGGGGCCGCGCGCGGGGGGCTGCGGCACGGTGCTGGCAGCGCCGCCGGGCTCGAGACGCGACCCCGCCGGCTGACCCCGCCCCCTTCTCCCCTCCCGGCCGCCGCCAGGGGGAAGAAAAGTGCTTGGGTTGCTGGGCTCGGTGACGACGAACCCCGGCTCGATCTTTCATTGGCGGTTCGCCGCCTCAGTCTGTAGCCGGAAGAGCGAGGGAGAAACCTGAGCCTGTCTCTGGGATTGGCCCGAGCGAAAGCTTCGTCGGGAGGCCGATGCGGAATTTGATTGGCGCGGGCGGCGTCGCGGTGCATTGTGGGGGGGGGGGGGGAAAGCGGCGGCGGCGGCGTGGAGTAAGGGGCTCATGGCGGCCATAGGCGTCCATTTGGGTTCCACCTGCGCCTGTGTGGCCGTCTATAAGGTAGGCCGCGCTGGGGGTGTGGTGAGGGGTAGCCGGGCGTTGGGAGCCCTCCCACCGGGCCGGCCGCTTGGGGCTGGGGCCCGGCTCGGGGTGGGGCGCCAAGGCCACCGTTCACAGAGTCATAGAGTATCGGCGTTAGAAGGGACCTCAGGAGATCATTTAGTCCAACCCCCTGCTCAGAGCAGGCCCGATCCCCAATTTTTGCCCCAGATCCCAAATGGACCCCTCAAGGATTGAACTCACAACCCTGGGTTTAGCAGGCCAATGCTCGAACCACTGAGCTATCCCTCCCCCTGTGAGCAGGGTGCGTGTGTACCACAGTCAGGGCCACAGGCTGTTAAGGGCTGGGATGGCTAAGCCCTGGACAGCCCGCCAAGGGACGTGAGAGATTCTCCCTCCCTTGGTGTCCTCAGGACGATGCTTTTCTGAAAGATGCTTTTGTGGCACACAAGTTATGCAGGGGTCCCTGGGTGCAGTTCTCTGGACTGGACAGGTCACGCTGGCCTCACAATGTGCGAAAAAGCCATTCTAGTGTCTGTCCGTTGCTGTTAGCCGCAGAGCTGTTCAGTGGGGGCATTTAGCTGTTACCACTCAATAGAGAGATCTTGGAGTCATTGCAGATAGTTCTCTGAAATCCTCGACTCCATGTGCAGTGGGAGTCAAAAAAATGCAAACAGAATGTTGGGAATCCATTAAGAGAGAGATAGATAAAAAATATAAAGATAAAAGATACAGAAAATATCATGTTGCCTCTATATAAATCAATGGTATGCCCACCTCTTGAATACTGCATGCAGATGTGCTCGCCCCATCTCAAAAAAGATATATTGGAATTCGAAAAGGTTCAGAAAAGGCAACAAGAATTATTAGGGGCGTGGAATGGTTGCCATATGAGGAGAGATTAATAAAACTGGGAGTTTTCAGCTTGGAAAAGAGATGACTAAGGGGGATATGATAGAGGTCTATAAAATCATGACTGGAGCGTAGAAAGTAAATAAGGAAGTGTTATTTACTCCTTCTCATAACTCAAGAACTAGGGGTCACCAAATGAAATTAATAGGCAGCAGGCTTAAAACAAACAAAAGGAAATATTTTTTCACGCAACATATGGTCAGTCTGTGGAACTTTTTGCCAGAGGATGTTGTGAAGGCCAAGACTATAACAGAGTTAAAAAAAGAACTAGATAAGTTCATGGACGATAGGTCCATCAATGGCTTTTAGCCAGGATGGGCAGGGATAGCGACTCTAGCCTCTGTTTGCCAAAAGCTGGAAATGGGTGACGGCATGGATCTCTTGATGATTATCTGTTCTGTTCATTCCCTCTGGGGCACCTGGCATTTGCCACTGTTGGAAGATAGGATACTGGGCTAGATGGACCTTTGATCTGACCCAGTATGGCCGTTCTTATGTTCCCAATAGAGGATCTCGCTCTGCAGGATGGAACGATGAAATGCTAAACTCACTCATAGAGCGCAAGTTTTTAATTGGCACCACTGGCTGTGTTTGGTAATAAATGTTGATGCTGCATATTTCATTGCTAAGGTAGGAAGGTATGTTAATATTTCACTGAATGACTTCTCTCTGCCTTTGGGTGGTGTATTTTGTTTTTAGGATGGCCGTGCAGATGTGGTTGCCAATGATGCAGGTGATAGAGTCACACCAGCTGTTGTTGCTTACTCAAAAAACGAAGAGGTAATTTTTTTATCGCTGTAGCAGTTTTCTGCAGAGAGGAATGTCCATTTTTTCATTTCATAATTTCTTTTCCATTTTGCAGGTGGTTGGTTTGGCAGCAAAACAAAGTAGAGTAAGAAATATTGCAAATACAGTAGTGAAAGTAAAGCAGATTCTTGGGAGAAGGTAAGTGAATAGATATGAAAGAAAATATACACACACTCCTCAAATGAAATATTACAAATTGGGGATGAAAATAGCAAATGCTTATTTAACGCATATTTGTACACAAGTCTTCTCACTAAAACTGGTCTGTTAATGAGATATATATAATTTAAGATCTAAAGTTTAATCAGTTTAATAGTTTGGCTTTGATAAGAGAGGTCACTAGATCCCAAAAATTGTCTTTGGTAGTTTTTCCGTTCTTTAATGAACTGTGGAATAAGAAGTTAGAGACTTTAGAGTATTCTTTGCCTGCATTTGTTTGCAGAATCAAACTGGAATAAGAATTTGCCAATAGGTAATCCTCACACTTCATAACTTGTCCAAAATAATGCTGGGTTTGGCCTACTTCTCAACTGTAGTGTGGACTCTTACTACCAAGATTTCTTTATTTGTATGCAGAAAACGTTACAAAGGTTAAAATATGCTGCTGTACATTTACTGAATTATTACCTTGAATTTAAAGTAAACTACAAGTAAATCCACAAATTAACAAAGACCATCTTGTGAACTACAGTGAACACAAGAATCATAGATTCATAGATATTAAGGTCAGAAGGGACCATGATGATCATCTAGTCTGACCTCCTGCACAATGCAGGCCACAGAATCTCATCCACCCATTCCTGCGATAAACTTCTCACCTATGTCTGAGCTACGTAAGTCCTCAGATTATGGTTTAAAGACTTCAAGGAGCAGAGAATCCTCCAGCAAGTGACCCTTGCCCCATGCTACAGAGGAAGGCGAAAAACCTCCAGGGCCTCTTCCAATCTGCCCTAGAGGAAAATTAATTCCCGACCCCAAATATGGTGATCAGCTGAACCCTGAGCATATGGGCAAGATTCACCAGCCAGATCCCACCACTCAGTGCTCGTGTCCTGAGTCCAAAAGCGGTATTCCACTCTGGTCAGCACCTCCATGAATGCCACAAGCAATCTCGTGTCGTTCATTCATCATTGCAAATTAGCAAGGTTCTACTTTATTTGGTTTTTAGTCCTGCCTAATAAAATGCTCAACTTTGTAATCAGAGAGGTGACAAATCAACAAGAAAGGTTTGTAACAGATTAAAAACAAATTAAAATTCTTTAAATGGCAGGCCGAGGGAGAGAATCTACCTGTGTATAGTCTGATTTTTATTTTATTTTCCTTCTGGTGTAGAATTTTGACAGTTAAACTTTTGCTCATCTTTTAGAATAAGTTAATCAGCTTGTAACTGCTGTGATTATTTACAACTGATATAACGAAAATGATATTGACATATGGTCCTGAAATAAAAATCACGTTGAATGCAGACGATACTGTTAATTGTTCAGATTTTATTTTTTATCCGTGAGGGTAGTAAATCAGAAGTGATTGATATTTTTCCAGGGTGCACTTTGTTTTCTTTCTTCAAAATGTAACTTAGGCTTTATCTACGCTACGCACCTTTTAGCGACACAGCTGTGCCACTACAGCCAGGCCGCTAAAAGGTGCACAGTGTAGCTGCGCAAAGCGCTCCTGCTGACAGAGCACTGTTCACACCGATGCTTTTTGTCGGTAAAACTTTTTTGTCGTTCGAGGGTGTTTTGTTTTTTTTTAACACCCCTGAATGACAAAAGTTTTGCCGACAAAATTCCCGAGTAGACAAAGCCTTAGAAAAATTGTCCCTTTCTCTTGAGTTTTTCCATGACAGGGGTGGGGCCCCAGACCTGCTGTTTATTAATAGTAATTGCAACAGGAGTTTTGACTAAAATAAATAAAATACAAGTGGATCTTCATAGACGGAGTGTCATAAGCTGAAAAAATGAACAACTAGGTAGGTGGAACCACACATCCAATGCCACCTGCAAAACATCACTCTTAATTTGTTTTGACAGCTCTGGTGACCCACAAGCTGAGAAATATATTGCAGAAAGCAAATGTCCAGTAAGTATGATCCAGTTTTTTTCTTGTCCCTAGAGTTGAAAAAATTGGCATTGGTTCCATCATTTATTTTAGTATCACAAACACCTCATTACAGTGTCTTTGTGCCATATGGGTCTGATCACTATCTGAAGCTCTACAGGACGCCATGTGTGATAGAAGCTTCTTTTTTAATGAGAGGTTTTGCTATATTCTGCTTTAAACCCTCTATTTGTCTCTCTTGTGGAGTTAGAGCCATCCATTATATGTGGGTTCTCCCTTGGGTAATATGCCTGAAGGAGAACTTCAGAGACGGTGATTCTTTAATGCAGTCAAAGAGAATAGTAACTAGCTTTTATTAACATTATAAATAAATGCAGAAAACGCTCAGCATAGGAAGCATGAAATTAAAATGTTTATTACACAAGCAACCACATTATTGAATCTTAAGACAACATTATCCTTGCTACTGGAAAGCTTTGTTTCAAAGAAAGATTTTAAAAAAAACTTTATTAACGCAAGATACTGACCTGATCTCTATCTCAGGAGCTCACAGGCATGGGGGAGTCTGAGTAACAGATCAATGATCCCCTGTATCCAGCCCTTGCCTCACCTCCTTCCTCCCAGAGGAGTGACAGCCAGGCTGTGTTAATCGTTGACCACCCATCTCGATAAATTCATGTAAATTGGCGCAAAAGCTAGATAATATGAGGGTCTGAAAGTCCTCCCTCTGTGCCTGGGAGAAATTGTGTCTTAGACAAACCTTCCCCAACATTTCCATGATATTTGAGGTCCAAATCCTTAGGGGTTTTTTCCGTTGTGTTTGAATGTTATATACCATGGGCTTGGCTTCATGATTCAGGCCTGGATATGACCCCCCTCCTTGGTCAAATCTGTTGTGGAGTCTTCATACCATTTGGGCCAAACACAAACATGAAAATGTTTCCCTGATCTAGTTTTCTTTTCTGGGAATGGAAACCAAATTAGACATAAACATTAATTTTCATTACAAACAAACTGAGACCTACCATGTCACATGCACATATGTTGGCTTTATTCCTAGGTCACTGAGAAGAATGGAAAACTCCAGTATGAAATAGATAACAAACTTGTTTGCCCTGAAGAAGTTGCAAAACTCATATTCAGTAAAATGAAAGGTAAATAGGGAGTAAAACTTTAAAAGTTATCAACACCTTGGCTATATTAAGGCGTCTTTTAAAAATAGTAATATTTTAATCCACATGTTCTGCCTCTGTTTGTAAACAGAAACTGCTCAGTCTGCTTTGGGTTCCGATGTCAGTGATGTGGTTATTACTGTGCCATTTGAGTTTGGAGAGAACCAGAAAAATGCCCTTGGGTAAGAAGAATGACTTCTCTTTTCATTTAGATGCAGGGGGACAGAATGGCTCAAGGGATTACTGATGGTAAGGCCCTACCAAATTCATGGTCCATTTTGGTCAATGTTATGGTCCTAGGATTTTAAAAATCATAAATGTCATGCTTTCAGCTATTTAAATCTGAAATTTCACAGTGTTGTATTTGTAGGGATTGACCCAAAAAGGAGTTGGGGGAGGAGGGGTGTCATAAGGTTCACACACACAAGGGTCACATTGGGTCAGGACCCCCAATTTGAAAAATGTTTGTCTCCCCCGTGAAATATGTATAGCGTAGGGGAAAAGCACACAAAAGACCAGATTTTACAGTCCTTGGTGCGTCTTTCATGGCCGTGAATTTGGTAGGGCCCTACTGATGGGATATGGAGACTTCCATATTTGGACCTAAATCCTGTAACTGATAGTGCATGGGGCAGGTTGCTGTGCGTCTATAGAGCCTTCACAGGTGTAGCAATCTGAACATCCACTAACAGTTACAAGATTCAGAGTAGCAGCCGTGTTAGTCTGTATTTGCAAAAAGAAAAGGAGTACTTGTGGCACCTTAGAGACTAACCGACTGATTAGTCTCTGAGGTGCCACAGGTACTGCTTTTATAGTTACAAGATTGGAACCCTAGTTTGCTGGTTCAAATTTGGACCACCCTGGTAATAATCAGGAGTAGAATCCTGGCCCAGTTGAAGACAGTGGGAGTTTTGCTACTGACTTCAATAGAAAAGACTTCACCCCAGAGGTTTTATCACCTGGTGACTGTTGTGTTCCACTTGAAATGTGTTTGACTCAGACTCCCAATTTATCAGACCACTCTGTTTTATTAGCAAAGCTGCTCTGCTAATACATTTAGAAGTGAGCCCCCCGAGTGGGGCTGGTGTCTCTTAATTTATACAGTTTTTTGGAGGACAAGTTACAGAGAAGTTACAGACAAAAGAAGAAAAAGATTTTAGTCACCACCCTTCGAGATCCCTGAGACCAGTCATGTATCTTCAATTACCTGCCACCCTTAACAATCTCCTTTAACAGCTTCCAGTTACCTTAACTAATTGCCCTTCACACCTTCCATTCTGATGCCTGCTTCTTAGACGTGCTGGCTCTATCTTAATTGCTTCTCCATTCAAAAGCTAACTGTCCCTACGTGTGCTCCCTCAGATACTTTGTAACATGTTTTGGCATGCCCTCTCATATACAATGTATCCAGCATGTCCCCTTATACAACGTTATACTTATACAATGTTATACTTCCACAAATGCAAATGACTTCAGTGCTGTTCCTCCTTAGGTTTTTACATCACAAATCTGAGCATCAAAATTGGTACCAAATAGCACCTTTATGGGCGATCGTACCAGGGAGGTTAGATGCTGTATGAGCATGGAGACTGAACTCTTATCCCGCCATGCTAGGTTTGAGACGCCCTGGTAGGACAACACAGGACCACTTTCTGTACCACTGTTTATTCTTGTAGGGGTTCTCTCTCCAGGGCTGTCAGTCCTTTTTATATTACACAAGCCTAAGTCATTTAAAAAAAAAAAAAGTATTTTACTATTATAAATCGAAATGCTCCAACTTTTAGATTTTAAAAAAAATCAGATGCCAGATGTCTATTAAAAATCCATCTGGAAATAAGCATTGTGAGTGTCAAAGTCAGATTCAGGACTCACATAATTTGTCAGACCACTCTGTTTATTAGCAAAGCGCTTTGCCAGTTCACCCAGATATGAGAGTCCCTCTTTGAGGCTCAAGCTAACTTATTTATACAAATAAGCCAAAGCCAATTTAACATAAGAGACAAAAGGAAGCAGAAACTGACAAATATATATACATATCTTATTTGCATACTAACTTTTACCAATCTCCTAGCTCAGTAGGAGCTCTAAGTTAATTAGTTTGAGGACCCATTGTCTCTCACTCCTTAATGTTTCTCTTCCTGACAACTATATTTCAACAAACCCTTCAAATAGCATTTCTTTAATGAATTATAATTTCAGTATAATTCATTCTACTTTCACATGAGTCTTAAACCAGCAAATGGTATTTGAGAGTCATTGAGCAAAGCACTTACGAGGTTTTTGTGTTACTGAGGACATTTCATACTTGCCAGTTAATCTGAGAAATGCTAAATTAGTTACATGGCTATTACAAGATGCATATTGGAGTGTGTCACAATGGCTTAGTACTTCTGTTTCAAGCGTAAAGGCAATAGACTTTTATCTGGAAGAAATTTTATTGTAGGCAGTTCAGAGACATTGAATTTTCCAGAGATTTTTTTTTTTTTTTGGACGCAATCAAGGTGATTTGGATCAGATATAAAACCAAACTTTTCTGCTATCAGTGCTGAGAACAATTTATGGGGATTTTTTCTGGAATGTTATCAGTTAGATTTTGTTCTTAAAGTTAAAACTTCTGCTGCCAAATAAAACACAGCCAATTTCACTTTGTTATATTTTGTGTCAGAGACTCTCATGCATTACAATACATTTTTCCTTGACACTTCATATATACAGTTAAGGCAGGGGACCCAGTAACAATTTGCATTATAGACAGGACTTTTAATAGTGTTCCTTGACTAGGCCAAAACCTTGGAAATATCATTTTATATCTGGGTAACATGACTCTGTGGTGTATGTACATTGAAGAGGCCTCAGTAATATGTACCACTACAGTAAGTGAAATGCAGATCTTTAGCTGTGGTGTGTCTTATCACAGGCAAGCAGCTGGGGCAGCTGGATTTAATGTTCTGAGATTAATTCATGAGCCATCTGCAGCTCTCTTGGCGTATGGAATTGGACAAGATTCACCCACTGGGAAAAGGTAAAATGCTTTTATTTCATTTTTGTGTGTGCTTTTTAAAATAGATTTAACTGTGGTTGCTTGAAAACTGGAGGTTTTGATGAACAATAGTGGTGTGTAATTAAGGCTTTATTGTGACTACAAAAATCGGGAGACGTCATTGTATTGTCATAACAATAAATGCAAAAATCATAACTTTGCTAGGAAATGCCCAGGGAACACAATATTATAGTTAACATTAAAGTTTGTCATTGGAAATTTGAAAAGTTTTTTTTATAGCCTTCATTTTCAATACAGATTTGTTTTCAATTACTTAAATGACTTTGAACGGATAACCGTAATTTAAAAACCCATACTGTGCTACACTGGATATGGAAAAAAATATGTAAAAAAGTTGTCTTGCTCGGTAGTGAGCTGACTGGATTGACAAAAGACCATGACTACTTAACTTGAAAATAAAAACTAAAATGTAATTCAATTTGTTAAGGAAGTTATGACAATAGTAAACATAGTACTGTTCTATCCAAGTTTTAAGTTAAAATATGTCGCTTCTATTACCTGAGTATTCAAGTGCTGTACAAAATTAAAAAGTTGAGATCTGCCCAGGTGTCAGTTTTCTATCCTGCTGTAAGTATAACTAGGGCTCATAACATCAAGTAAATGTTAGTTCCCAGTTACGCTCCGTTTAGTCATAGGCTGTTTGCTACTTGTAAGCATGCTATCAACTATTGTTCTGTTTCTTGGAGGAATACTGTAAAATAATAGCCATAGATATGATAGATGTATGTATTTCAGTACTTCCAATCAAATGTTATTGACAAACAATTTAAAAAACTTAATTTACATTGTGTGTATATGTTTAGTTAGAAATAATGAGTATGAGGAAATGTATGTATTTTACTGATCTAGTTTTCAGGTTTTTGTTTTGTTTTGTTTTAACCTGGCAGCAATGTGTTGGTTTTTAAGCTTGGAGGAACATCGCTCTCTGTGACAGTTATAGAAGTAAATAGTGGAATATATCGTGTTCTTGCCACAAACACAGATGATAGTATAGGTGGTGTCTGTTTCACAGAAGCCTTAGCACAACATTTAGCTTCTGAATTTCAGAGGTAAGTGCTGAATATTTTACAGCTACAGAAAAACATACATTGCTATTAATGTTGGGACTACCTTTTTTAAAATTCTCTCTGGAGGCAAAGTGGGGTTTGGGGTGGAGGCTCACAGCTCACAATCCCCCCCCCGCAATGACCTTGTGACCCCCCGTTTGAGAACCCCCGTTCTAGGTGTTACCACCATATAAATATTGAATAATAATTCCATGCATTTAGCAAAAGTTGGCTTGGGTGAATTCACTGATCCTACATAAAACCACCCTGTAAGTTTCAGATGGATAACATTCTTTTTCTGACTCAAACTGTTGTGCAGTGTTGCTGTAAGCTGCTTTTTTTTTTTTTTTAAAGCAGTCTCATTCCAACTCTGGGGTGTTTTGTTTTTGTTTTTAAATAACGGCAGCTTTTATTAAGAAGTTGTTGAAGCAATTGCTATATATTCCTAATCACTTAGTCAAGTTTATAGAATGCTTTGAGATCTTTTGGATGAGGTTGTTACAACTTCTGTTTAATGTTGTTTTGTTTCTTGAAACAACTCTGATGATTGAACTTTAAATTGATTAGCTTCAGGCATCTTCTTCCCATATTGCATTCATTTAGGAGATTGTTTTGAGGAGAGACTGATGAAATCTCTGCTTGTTAAAACACTAATTCCTGGCTTTCTCCAAATAGCACTGAAGAATGTGTCCTTTGCTTGAATTTGAAGCAGACATTTTTCTTTATTCTTGTAAGGTCATTCAAAATGTACAGTTTACTGAAGAATGGGAAAAGGAGCCACTTTAATACTAACTTCTTGAAAGCATATCTAATGCATTATGTCTAAAACAGTTTCTCAGTCATCGTAAAGACTTCTTTTTAATACAGATCTTACAAACATGATGTAAGAGGAAATTCCAGAGCTATGATGAAGCTAATGAACAGCGCTGATGTTGCAAAGCACTCTTTGTCAACCTTGGGAAGTTCGAACTGTTTCGTAGACTCATTATATGATGGTCTGGATTTTGATTGTAATGTGTCCAGGTAAGGGTGATCCTTTTGAAATTACTTTTGATATTTTTGTTAGGATTGTTTTCTAGGATTGTGTGTGTGTGTGTAAAATTGAATTTTGGGGTGGAGGGGTACTGAAGATGAAAACTGGGTTTTTGATCTCTCATTCCAGCAATATCTAGAAGTCTCTGCTAATGTGAATAGCTCCGTTGGCTTTAGTGTCAGATGAGTAAAGGCTGCAAGAATTGGGCTCTGAGTACTAACGAAGGCTTCTAGCATTGCACTGCAGGTTCTGACTGTTGACTTTTGAAAGGTCCCCCAGAATTTTGTCTTTATTTCATATGGACTATTTTCCAGACTTTTACTTGAAGGATGAATAGCCCTAATCCAGCATAATGACATAGCATCTGACTTTATTGAAGACGGGGCTTGAAAATCTTACCAGAGACCTACTGGCCAGAGCTAGATATCAAAGAAAAGTGGATAGAGAGCCCTGATAAGTGAGAGGTGTAGGGAGCTGGGATTTGTACCAGGTGTTCTGTTCCAAGACCCTGCACAGAGTAAGTTCTATCCCTTTTGCTGAGAGGGGCAGAAACTTTCTCTCCCTTCCACCCCTCCTCGGTTCTCTGGTGTGAGAGTGGACTGTTTATACTACTCTTACCTCTCCCTGGAGGCTTGCTTTTTTTTTTTTTTTTTTTTTTTTCCCCCTTTGGAGGAGGATTGTCTTCGCCTGTCAATTCTGCTACTGCTCATTGCTTTCCCAGTTGGCAGTAGAAGCAGAATAAAATAGGATGCTTGGCAGTTTTCTTAACAGAATAGCAGCAGTTCCATTTTGCTGCTGCTGCAGCCTGGTATAAAAACAAATTAAAAACAAAAACAACAAAACCCACCACAGTAGCAGAGACAAAGGAGCAGTCTATCTGCAGACTTACATAAAAACTGTTTGGATTGCTCTAGTTCAGTTTTATGGACTAATATTTTGTTTTAATTAAAGTGATTCATTGTATACCTTTCAACCACGTAAAGCTTCCCCAGACTCCTTTGGTGAGTAGTATTCTCAAGCTCTGATTAAAGGTAGTAAAACATACTGGGGTCCTCAAACTACTTGCTTGTGAACATAAAGCAAGAGGTTGACTGTTAATTCTTAAGAACTCTTCTTACTTTGTTTTACCTCTGCAGATAAATTTCTTTTTAGTGTTTAATGCATCTTCAGATTAAAAATCAAAATTAGATTCAATTTTTCCACTTTGTCTCACCACCTTGTTGTACCCCCACAACTTGCATATGGAGATGGTTTTCTGTGGACCATCTGGAGTATGTCTATACAGGAGGAAAAACTGGCCTTGTAATTCTCTACGGGTGTACTGCTGCTGATGGAGGTATAGTGCAGGGAGCATGCAGGCACTTTTTCCACCACATTATCTCAGCAGGGTTAATGTGTATTGGTGAAACTTTGGGTGGAACAACACCCAATTTTTTTGCATGTCTAAACTGCTGCGTTTTTTCGGCTGTTCTTCACAAAAACAAAAACAAAGTTGAATCCACAGCTTTCTTGGTGTATTTGTGAAGCCATAATATTTCTGAGACTCTTTCACACCAGTACATTGCTCCTGCTGTTACTTAATCCTGCCACTTCATGGCTATGGAAACAGAGTATGCTGTGGAAAATATCTTTCTCTTCCATTTTAACTGCTAATTCTTCCAACAGCTGAGAGATTGTATTTGCTGTTTACTTAGCATTTTCTCTGTTTGTTAAACAGGGCCAGATTTGAACTGATTTGTTCTCCACTTTTTAATAAATGTGTAGAAGCAATTAAAAAAGTCTTGCAACAAGTTGGATTTACAGCAGATGACATTAACAAGGTAACAATTAATCTTTATTCTCAGGATGTTTATGAACTCATTTGGAAGAACACCTGGGGAATATATTAACAAGGAATTAGCCATTAGCTGTTAATTTCTGGGGCTCAAAGTATACCACTGTATGTGAAGCATTTTCTGGCTGCTAAATGTCATGCTAGTTAAAGGTACAATTTACCCTCTGCATGTGTGTAGCTCTTATTACTGCTGAGGGGTGTTGTGTTCACATTAAGGGAAGAATGTATCGCACACAAGACTTTGGGTTTATAAAAGAACTAAAGGGTGACTAAAGCCTTATGGTTTAAAACTGTCCTTTTCATCTCTGTAGCACATTGATGATAAATCCTTGATCAATTCAAGGAAACTAAAATCAGTTACATGATTTATTTATTTTTAATATTTTATATGCCTAGGCTGGGATGGATGCTGTACTTACCTTATCTAAAATGTTGTCTAAAAGATTTTTGATATACTTGGAGATTTATTATAATTTCATAGGTTTATTTTAGGTTTTTAAACATTCTTAAAACTTAAACCATGTACATCATATAACTGAGGGCTAAGGGACTGTTCCAACACCCACTGAAGTCTGTGGAATTTGTCTTCATCGGGAATTGGATTGTGCTCTAAGTGTGTGAGAGGGGCTTTTTCGCATGTCTTTAAAGGAACTCCTGAGTTCTAGTTCATGTCTGAGTAAATCACTTAACCCAATTTAATGGGCCAGTGAGGCAGAGGTTAATATTTACCCAAATCACAGAAGTATGAGTTGTTTAGCTAGAGTTAAAAGTACCTTAAAGATGGAGAGGTATGTAAAGTACAAAGTAACTACGTAGTAGTAGTAAAATTTTTTTTTTTTTTAATTTTTAGATTTGCACAGTACTTCTGCTTGCAGAACCCAAGATCAATTACAGTAATATTGCAGAATAGTAGAGGCCAATAAGTCTTTCAGTTATTCAGCACAAAGGATAATACTACATGCCACTGGGATTTCCATAGTCAGTGTTGCACATGTAACGTCTGTTTTAGTTTCAGTGATAGGGTAGAGAAGGGATGGCATCTAAGATATAAAGTTCTGCAATAACTAACAGATGCTCTTAGCACAGTGAGAACTGATCCTTGAATGGGAACTTCAGGCAAAAGAGCACATCAAGGTATCCTGTAGGGGTTTGAAAGCTGTGAAAAGCTAACTTAAAAATAGTGCCTACAGGTTTGAACTGAGCGTAGTGTGTTTTAAAAAAAATTTCTAACAAAAGGAAACGGTGAGTAGAGGAGTCAACACAAAACAAAGTGAAAATTGTAACATTAAATTTTTAAAAAGGAAACTAAATTCATAAATGTTAAGTGAAGTCTTTTTTAAAAGTGAACATTTTTGATAAATCCCTGAGCGCCGTTTTATGTAAATAGTTGGCTGTCATGAATTTTTGCTTCATTTCCAGGTCAGGTTGGCCTCCGCTAAGACACTGTTGTTGTTTGGGGTGGGGAGTTAATTGGTTCTTTCTTTATGGAATGCTATTTTTTAGCTAGCTCACTGATACAATAGGAGGCCTGCTCCAGAAATGATTTCATGCTTGCAAGCTGCCTTTTTTTTGAGACAAATGCTAAGGGTCCAGAGGTCAGGCAAAAATAATGTATTTATATTTTTTATTGTAGTATTTCTGTTTTTTTTACACAGTGGGTCATAGAGCATTAAACATTACAGAGCAATTTAACCTTCCACAGTGTAGCTGTATGTTCACTTATGTTCTGTAAAGTTCTGAAGTCACTAAGGAATAATATTTTCTAGGTAGTTCTATGTGGTGGGTCTGCTCGAATTCCAAAGCTACAACAGCTGATTAAAGACCTTTTCCCAGCTGTGGAGCTGCTGAATTCTATCACACCAGATGAGGTCATTCCCATTGGGGCAGCCACAGAAGCAGGGATCCTAGTAGGGAAAGAGAACCTCTCGTTAGAGGAGGAGGCACTATCTATTGAGTGTTCTGCCAAAGATATTCTAGTTAAGGTAAGTCTCATAGTTTAATATTGAAACTTTTTTACTCCACTAATGCAAAAATGGATCAATATTGGTGGTGACTCACTTGGAAATGTTATGTTCATTGATTTACAGTGGTGGTAGTCTCCAATAACCATGCTAGCACTAGCAATTACATTGCAACTTCCTACTAAATAAATCAATATGTAGGGCCTGATCCATAGCCTATCAAAATCAATAGACATACTCCTGTTGATTTCATTGGGCTTTGGATCAAATCCTTGCTATGCTATAATAGCTGAATTTACCATTCCGTGTGCAGTATTTTCTATAGCTGTAATAGGAAATGCTTCAAATACTACCATGCTGCAGCATTTGCCTTTATTGTGAGTATTAATGCTGAATTATACTTTTAAGCAGAGACCACTGTATGTAGCTATCATCTGATAATTAAAAATCAGTTTTTGCTAGCTTAACTCCCATTGAGTAGAGCCGAATAAAACTCTAGACTCAAACGTCTTTAAATATGAACTCCTTCTGTAAAGTTCAGAGATTAGATATGTCATGCCAACTTTTCTTGTTTGTTAGGGTGTAGATGAATCGGGGACTGACAAATTCACAGTGCTGTTTCCATCAGGAACTCCCTTGCCAGCACGAAGGCAGCACACACTACTTGCCCCAGGAAATAATTCCTCTGTATGTCTTGAACTATATGAGTCTCTAGGCAAAAGTCCTGCAAAAGAGGAAGACAAATTTGCACAGGTGAGTACATACAAGAAGTTAATATAAAATTCTTGCTGTGAATTATTTGGAAATTCAGTGGATGTACAAGAACAGACTTTTTGTTGGGAGGAGTGGAAGTCCCTACACTAGTCTCTCTAGAAATTGCCTTTAAATCATTCCCATAAACAGATCATACTGACTTTCCAAGCAAAGTATTTTTTAAAAAAGGAATTCTACCTTTACCTAGCACCTTTATCAAGCTGAAGAATCCTGCAAGTGCTTTGCAGGCTGCTCATATATAGAGCGCTGCTGAAATGCAGCAAGCAACCAGCCCAGCAACATACTTCACAATGGTAAGAGAACTTTTTGGCCAGGAATGGTGGGGTAAATAGCACACACAGTGCTACAGGATCTATTCAAGTCCACCTAGATTGAATAGGATCTTAGTTTCAAATACTGCTTTGGAAAAAAACACACAGTACGTTACATGGTACTCAACTTCTCTAAATCAGAAGTATTAAAAAACGGTCAGGTACATCTAATACTCCCTGGATGAGTAGTGGCAAGGATTCAATGTTAGCCTAGTGGATAGAGCACTTGACTGCAAATCAACAGAATCCTTGAAGAAATGCCTCCTACAAAAAGCACACTTAGTTGGTCTGCATTCTGCATGGTGCTGATCACCTCTAGCTGGAGGTACTTTCATACCACTTAGTAGCCAAAGACAAAGGTTTGCCATAACTTGAGCTTTTTAGGAAGGGAATGGGAGTGTTCTGAAGTTCACATAGTGAGTATTTTAGGACCTGATCAAAAGAGGTGATGAGCATGCTCAACTGATACTGAAATTAATGGGAGTTGAAGGTGCGCTGTCCCTTTCAGGATCAGACCTTGCATAGCCTTTCCCATTTCAAGGAGCTACCTTTACGTGAAGTGACCTCAACAGAAGGATTGAGCCCTTCCTGTATGGATCTCTCTTGCACGTACACTTGGACTTACTGTTTTGCAACCTACTTTGTATCTTAAATTACTAGTAATAAATTCTGAACAGAATAAATAACATTCAGCATGTACAATTTTGATTATTTTGGGAAAATGCAGTACTTGTGATTTTGTCGCCTCCATTTGGGAGAGTTAGGATCACAGAAATGTAGGATTAGAAGGGACCACAATAGGTCATCTAGTCCAGTCCCTTGCACTTAGGCAGGAGTAGTATAATCTAGATTGTGCCTGACAGGTGTTTATTTAACCTGTTCATAAAACCTCCAGTGACAAAGATTCTACAACCTCCCTAGGTAATATGTTCCAGTGCTTAACTGCCCTTACTTAGGAAGTTTTTCCCTACTATGCAAGATCAATCTCCTTTGCTGCAAATTAAGCCCATTACTACTTCTCTTTATCCAGAGGACAGTACTCCTTCCTAGGCAGTCATTTCCCATTTTGTATTTGGGTAATTGATTATTCCTTCCTAAGTGTAGTATTTTGCATTTGTCTTTACTGAATTTCATCAGACTGTTTTCCAATTTGTCGGCTGAGTTTAGGTTCTTGTTTTAAAATCCTAGACTTGAGAGACAGCATCAGCAGAATAGGCAAGTGGGCAGTGGCCTAGAACATTAGAGCAAGGGATTTCATTCCTAACGACGAATGTATTTCTGGAATTTGGACACTAGATCTGTTCATGTGCTTAGCTTACTTTGTATCAGTGCATATAATCAATTTTAGCCTTTTATTATTATTTTTTTTAAACAGATTGTACTCCAGGATTTAGATAAAAAGGAAGGAGGTCTTCATGACATATTAACTATTCTCACTATGAAAAGGTACCAGAAATCCAAATATTTCCTTGTCTGTGCATTAACTCACTGAGTGCCTATGAAAAGTACATTTGAGAGAAATAGACTTTTTCTGCTGCTGAACTTCATCTGAGAATTGATTATATTTTCTCTCTAAGAAAGAGCAGCAGTTAATTTATTTGTGGGGCTCTTGCAACCTGGGTATGAATTTGTGGGGAATCTGTGGTTTATCTTTTTCTGCCTTTCCCAAAAGCCATGTTAATGTTGATTCTTGATGTCCCTAAATAAAATTTTTCATACATGCTATGTTAAGATCTATTTTCAAGACTTCTGGTGTACAATATGTAAATATTTATTTCTCTCTTGCTTAGGGATGGATCCTTACATGTTACCTGCACAGATCAAGATACAGGAAAATGTGAAGTCATCACTGTTGAAGTGGCATCATAGTTTCATTTGAAAGGAGACTCTTTTTGTTGGCTTGTTTCCCAAACGTGTGTGTGAGTGTGAGAGAGAGGGAGAGAAAAAAATACTTTTAATGAGCCATTGCAGACTGGAATAAATTAGATAACAGCATTTCAGCACCAAATCTTTTATTTATTTTTTTTAAGTTACAAATGAAAATATAATGCAAAAGGTCACCCCAAACTTTCAGATAATAGAGAGAGTAATGCAAATCCCCATCTATCTATCGATATTTAAGTTTCCAAAAGTGACACATCCAAATGTTTTTATTATTCAGTAATAGGTTTATTACAGAATGAAGACTTTTCAAATCATATGATTTAAGTTAGGGGTTCCTGCTTCCTATCTCATTAACCTAATAGAGACATAGACCCTTTTGGAACTGTTGATACATCAGTCATAAACAGCCAACCAGTGAACAAGCAAAAATCAGTCACCTGTTTGTAGTTGGGTCCTTAAAGTTTGTACCAAGTTGTATCAAAACTTGAGTAACGAAACTGCTTCTCAAGACTGCAAGGTGTGATCCCTTTTGGAGTTGAGAGTCCTGTGTGCAGATTTCGCTGTTCAAGCTAATGTCAAATGGCTTTGTGATCACTACATGGAAAACCTGTATGAGGGAAGACATTCGTGTGTATTTGTTTACTTATGGAATAGCAATAAAATGGTTTTATATACATGTTGATGCACACTATACTTAATGGCAGGGATGCAGACAGCTTTTTCAAACCTAGTACGGTAAATTCAGAGCACTACTTGGTTTATGGTGGATAGAAACTTTAGTGTGTTTTGCCGCTTACAGCGTACACTAGGTATAATAATTGAGTTAACCAGACAAGTGCAATTTTTACAGTACTTGGGATCCAAGTTGAGAGGCTTAGCACCAGCAATTTTCAAAGATATCAGTTCACATTGATTTCAGATCAGTACCAATTCAATTCAAGTGGGAGAAATGTTAAATGGTTAAAGTTATAACCCTGATCGATGCAGTAGTACTTCACCTTGACATTTAAAGGGCCACAAATATAAGGATTGGAGAGGAAGGCTGATCTAGTGCTTAAGGTGCTAGGATAAGACTTGAGACCCACACCCAATTCCCTGCTTTGTCACAGACTTCCCATCTGTCCATAGATATGTCACTAAAACTCACTGATACGTTCCCATCTGTAAAACAGGGATAACAGTGTCACGGAAACACAGGATCGGTGCTATCTCCACAGTTTTGGAAGAGTCTCTAGGAGGAACCCTGCAATGTGCTACACCCCCAAGGGATCTTACTCTTCCTCCAGGGTAGGTCATGCCACAGAACTGCCTCCTTGACTGAACCTCTGGGTATCTTGCATACCTCAAAACCTTTTCCTATAAACCTCAGGTGTCAGTTCAACCATAAGCAGTAGAGCCTTTTTTGATCTGTTTAGAGTCCCCAGTATCAATTTATCAATCTGGCTGTATGCCTCTAAAGCTTGGGCATTGAGGGGGTGAGACAGCGGAACTAGTCCACAGGGTCAACCATGTACAAATTGCAAGTCTTTTCAAAGCCTGTGATGTTGGCATCTCTATCCACCCCTTCCTTGAACTGAGGCAACAATTTGGTATCTAGGCTCCCTGTGGGAATTAGCATCACGGCGTCTTTCTCCTCTTACCCCTCAATAGGTTCTGTTCCCCCTCTGCTACTCCATATTCAGTTCATGCTTTCTCTGCTTCCCCTGGTGCTTTTGCTGATTCCCATGGTCAGGTCGTTCCTTCTCAGTCAGCTAGCTCCTTTGCTCTCAGCTCCAACTCCCACCACTTCAAATCTGTCAGTGGGAAACCTGGTCATGAGGACACACTGCTGGAAGGGGAAGCGAGTCTTGAGGATGCTACGTGGCTGCCTGTGTCCCTCAGACCCTCTTGGAACGAGGCCTCTGGGGCTGACAGCGTACTTGTGGCACGAGGGGCGGGTTTGGTGGCTTCCAAGCCAGGCTATTCCACTGGGGGAGTGTGAAGGTCAGGCCTCTGGTCTCAACTCTCATGCCCCAGTGTATCCAATTCACAGGGTGTACGCAGAGCAGACCCTGAAGCATAATCACTTTATCATGCCCGTAGGAGGTGGCTGGGAAAAGGGTCTGGGGTACCAGGACACAGATGCTGGCAAGGCCCAATGTGGTGGACCCAGATCAGTTTGTGCCCAGTGAATAATCCTGAGGGGGAGCTTGGACCCTCAGTTAAGGTGCCTATAGCGAGAATGTGCCTGAAGTGGGGTGCCCAGGAAGGGTGCACAAAGGCTGGGGTGTAGGACCTGCAAAGGTGCTCATGGGAAATTATCTGGATGACTGGCCAGATGGTGCCCAGAATGGCTTGGTCCTTACCAGGAGCCAGAACCACAGAGTACCACCCTGTCCGCACCCATAATCACACACTACCAAGCTTGGGGCTAGCGAGCTTCTGACTGAAGAGTGTGCTCCCTGGGACAGGGCTGCATTGGGCTAAGACAGAGAGGGGGAAACCAAGGCACAGCCAAGAGGTTTGTGACTTCAGTCCCTGCCAGCAAGGAGGGACAGGTCATACTCCCTGCCCTAGCAGCTGAATTTCAGACAGGACTGCAGGAGGATATTCCCCTATCCCCCCCACTTAGACAAACCGAGGGCCATGGCAGGCTGCAGTGCTGCAAACTTTCTTAAGGCTGACTGCAGGGTAAGATTCCTGTGGGAGAACGGATTCCTGTATAGGGAATGGGTTCCTCCCCAGCACTGAGGCTTGGGTCATCAGGAGACAGTTTGTGGTTTCTTAGAGGTACTGTCAGAGGCTATTGTAGCTGGCCCATGATGTCCCCCTCTCAGGACATCAGAGGATCCAGTGCACCAGGCAAAAGTTGCTGCAGAACATACTGTTCTAGACCTTTGATGCAGTCAAGCAGTACTGCAAGTTCCGTGATCCCTGTCAGAGGGTAGGAGTAAGTGTAAAGCAGCCCTGAGACAACTGCCCATCATAGAGGGAATCCTTCCAGAAGGTGGCGATGGACATTGTGGAGCCCCTTATCAAGGCAACCCGGTCAGGGAAGAAATACATTCTGGTGGTGGTAGACCTAGTGAGTGGCAAACTCAAGGCAGACGCACTGCTGACCATTGTCAGTAGAATAGGGCTCCCCAGCGAGGTCCTTACAGAGCAGGGAAATAATTTCATGTCAGCCCTTCTGTGGTGCTTATGGGAGAAATGTGGGGTCTGGTACACCTGTGTCTCTGCACATCACCCTCAGACAAATGGTATGACCACCCTGTGCATACCTGCTCATCCGGCACAAAAACCAAATGATGGTTCTCATCCATTTGTGATGGGCCTTCTAAGTTATCAAACCATTCAATTAAGTGAATTATGTGGTGGAACTGTCTGCCCCGGCTCACAGCCACCAAGTTGATCACGTCAATATGATGAAACCATACTTTGACAGGGAGAAAGTGGTGCTGGCAGTGGGAGAAGAACAAGGAATATCCCCTGGTAGATTTTATGCCTGAGATGGGAGCCAGGCCTCCTCTAGAATCAATTCCAGCAGGCCTGGGCTCACTAACCTAGCTGCCTAGCAGGAGCCCAATCTCCCATCAGATGTTCCCCATTCAGAGTCACTGGTTCAAGTGACCCGGCTCAGAATGGTCTCGAAGAGGGAAGAGATGAGACATTGGGAATTTTCTGTAATTTTTATGAAGCCTATGTGTGCATCAGTTTCCCCTATATTTTGAAAGGCTTCTCAGTGGAGGAAAAAGAAAAAAATACTTTCTCTGTGGAAAGTATGCATCCAATGAAGTGAGCTGTAGCTCACGAAAGCTTATGCTCAAATAAATTGGTTAGTCTCTAAGGTGCCACAAGTACTCCTTTTCTTTTTGTGAATACAGACTAACACGGCTGTTACTCTGAAATCAGTGGAGGAAAAAAGACTGTTTGGGAGATACAGGTATGAATGTTGCCTAGCTGTCTGAACGGGTCATTAAAAAGGACTGGCGGAGCCAACCCCATATCAATGGAAAATCCAAGAAGACAATTGAAAAGCCAATCACCAGGCACTGACACCTAGCAACTAATGACCCAGAGGGAGATAGATTTCCCTGCTTCTTAGCAGGGAAGCTGAGCAAAGATCCCAGCTCAAGAACAAAGGATTGGGAAAGTGTGTATAGGAGGGGGCAGGGAGGGGAGACAAGAGGTTGCTTCTGGAGTGAGGTAGGAGGCTCTCACCTGGGAACTGACCAAGGAGGTCAGACTGAGAGAGACAGAGCCTGAACATGGGAGTTCACTACAGCTTGGTTAGGCTCTGGGCTAACCAGGATGATCTATGCCAGGGGTGGGCAAAGTTTTTGGCCCAAGGGCCACATCTGAGTATGGAAATTGTATGGTGGACCATGAATGCTCACAAAATTGGGAGTTGGGGTATAGGAGGGGGTGAGAGCTCTGGCTGGAGGTGCAGGCTCTGGGGCGGGGCCAGAAATGAGTTTAGGGGGTGTGTGTGGGGGGCTCTGGGCTGGTGCAGGGGATTGGGGTGCAGGGGGATGAGGGCTCCAGCTGGGGGCACTGGGGATGAGGGGTTTGGGGTGCAGGAGGGTGCTCGGGGCTGGGACCAAGGGATTCAGAGGGCAGGAGGGGGAACAGAGCTGGGGCAGGGGGTTGGGGCGTGGGAGGAGGTCAGGGGTGCGGGGTCTCAGCAGCGCTTACCTCAAGCAGCTCCCAGAAGCAGTGGCATGTCCCCCCTCCGGCTCCTACGCTGAGCCATGGCACCGGCCAGGCGTCTCTGCACTGCTCCGTCTGCAGGTGCTGCCCCTGCAGCTCCAATTGGCAGTGGTTCTCAGCCAATGGGAGCTGCGGGGGTGGGGCTTGGGGCAGGGGCAGCGTGTGCAGCCCCCTGGCTGGCCCTACGCATAAGAGTAGGAGTGGGGACATGCTGCTTCTGGCAGCCGCATGGAGCCATGGCACAGGTGGAGCTGGGCAAGCCCCCAACCCCACTCCCTGGCAGGAGCTTGAGGGCTGGATCCAAACGTCTGACAGGCCAGACGTGGCCCACCCCGGTCTATGCTTTAACTTTCAGTTCTCTGTGCTAACCCCCAAGGGCTTCCTATGTTGTGTTCCAGCTGACTTAATAAACGCTACTGTTTTAACACCACCATTTGAGCGTCACTGCAAATACTTGGTACAAATCTCTGCCAGCAGCCTTGGTCAGTTGGACTCACTGAACAAAGCTCACAGTGTGAATCAGGAGAGCTAAAACCCCACAGGTCTCAAGGAGACTGTGAGATAGCATGGCCTACCCTGGAGGAAGAGTGAGAACCCTTGGGGATCCGGCACACTGAAAGGATTCCTCCTAGAGCCTGTTACAAAGCTGGGGGCATAGCACCAATCCTGTGGATCTGTGACAACTAGTACTCTATTTCAGAGTAGCAGCCGTGTTAGTCTGTATCCGCAAAAAGAAAAGGAGTACTTGTGGCACCTTAGAGACTAACATTTATTTGAGCATAAGCTTTCGTGAGCTACAGCTCACTTCACTGGATGCAAGGTACTCAGATAGTACAATCTAAAACTTTTATTCAGTGGCGAAATAAATGCACTTGATCAGTGTTCCCAATAATTCTTCCTACCTTCCTAACAAGAAATGGACTACAATGGTTTAGCAATCTAAACACTGGGTTTGAAGTTACTAGACTCAGTGGAATGAATTGCAGG